AGGAGCCTTGGGGGTCAGGCTGCCCCTCCGAGGAGACAGGGAGACGGGCAGTCACAGCCCCGGATTTTGGGTCACGTTCCCCAGCTTAGAGCAGCCCCCCCCAGAGAGCACTGTTTGTTTTCATTTATGGGTGAGGGGTCCAGGGGACGGAGGTGGGCGGAGTCAACGCAGACAGCAGGGAAGAGTCGAAGCTTGTGGATTTCAGTGACAAGCGGGAGAACTGTGGGTGGAGGGGTATCCAAGGTGGCTACACCCCCACAGTCCTCACCAGAGAGTGGCTGCACAGGCCTTCCAGTCTACTCAAACCAACTCAAACCAGGGCCAGGGCCCAGGCATGTTGAGGTGGGTGGCCATCCGCTCATTATCAAGGCTGTGTCCACAGGAGATGTGGGGGGTTTCGCAGGTGTAAGCATTTCACAGAGCCTGTCCTAAGGCTCACACACGGCGGGGGGCAGGCACTTTCTAGTGAGACCCTGTGGGAAAGGGCTGCCTTCAACCACGCCTTCTCTTCCTCTGGTGGGGGCAGGTAGTGGCCCCTTCTCCCTGTTCGCACTGGTTGCTTATGGAGAAGGGGACCCGAGACTGGGGAGGCATTTATTTCTGGGGCTGTATCATCACCCAGGTGAGCTGTGCTCCCCACACCCCAGGTGGATGGGCCTGTCTGGTGCATCCACACCTGCCCAGGGCTGGGCATGAGGCACTGATTCTTAAGGGAGGAAAACGCCACAAGTTGCAGTCTGAGCACTTGGGGCCTCAACTCTGGAGTCAGATACAACTTGCAAAGAAGCAGTGGTGGGTCAGTGGTTGAGAATCCACCTGCCAATGCCGGGGACACGGGTTTTATCCCTGATTTGGGAAGATCCTACATGCCTTGGGGCAACTAAGTCCATGTGCCACAACTACTGAGCCCAAGACCTGCAACTACTGAAGCCCATGTATGTGGAGCTGGTGTTCTGCAACAAGAGAAGCCACTGTAATAAGCTGGCCCACCGCAACTAGAGAGTAGCCCCCACTCACTGCAACTGGAGAACCCTGTGCAAAGCAACGAAGACCCAGCACAGCCAAAATAAATTAAAAAGTAAAAAAAGATGCACCTGGGCCCTCCAGGGTGGACCCTGCTGGAGCCTCCTGTCCGGGGGATCAGCAGCTTTGGCACGACCTTGGCAGTTGGGTCAGCTTTCAGCTGAGCACACCTGCAGCCCCAACACAGGTGGGGAGCATTCATTCCTCCCAGGCAGGGCTGATACAGTGAAGCTCAGGACCCCCAGGGCATGCCCTGTCTGGGTCTTAGGTTCCTCACCTCACAACGTGGTGGTCCCAGCCTCTCACTTACAGCTGGAGAAGCTCCAAGCAGTGTACTGTGGTCCCCATTCCTGCAGTGAAGTGCATTTCCTGGGTCCTGGGCTCCAGATGTGAGTCTAACAGGTAGGGAGACAGGAGGCTGGTGCCTGGAGAGGCCAGGGGTGGTTGCCAGTTGGGCATCCCGAGAGCAGTCCTTGAGGATGGGCCACGGGCCTCAGCCAGTCTGTAAACAGCAGCAAATTCCATACAAGTCATTGATTAGCAAGTATCGTATAATTGCAGGGTAATCATATGGTTATTTTCGCTTTGCAAATTAAAGTGTTACTATGAGATGGGACAATTATGCAGGGTAATTATACACCGATTCACACGTTAATGAGGGGAACAATGATCAGGTAATCCATAGGCTGCATGGCTACTGTACACACGAGGAGTTGTTGTCACCATGTAATTGTGTGCTGACCAGAGGAGCATTCGAGCACACAAGTGTCCTCACGTCACGCCTGGTCCCCGCCTCCCTGCACACAGCTGACCCCACGAGTGACGCCGGTGACCCGGGGAGGTACTCCAGGCATCACTGTGGACTTGGCTGGGCGGGGCCAGTTTTGCAGGAAAATCGTTCTCTCCTGAACCCCCTGGGGCTGCAGCACTGGCTGCCCTCCAGAGGAGACAGGCAGGACCGGGGCCAGAAGCCACACCCCCGACTCACTTGGTGCACTCAGGGCTGCCCCTCTCCCGGTGGTCACCTACTGGTGACCCAGCAGGCGACCTGTCTGGGTGCGGTTCGCCCCATCCTGGAGGGGTGGGGGCCCCCAGCAGGCCGGGCTTCCCTGTCCACTCAGTGTCGGTCCTCCTGCCCTGACGCCCCCTCCCCCATGTGCAGTGGTCAGATGGAGGCTGCTGCCCCTGAGAGGGAACACCTCGAGTTCCCACGTTGAAGCCCTAAGGCGATGTGTAGGGAGGGGCCTTTGGGAGGCCATGAGGTTCTGAGGGTGCAGCCCCCATGAAGGGATTAGTGCCCCCATAGGAAGAGGCTCAGGGCCCCAATCTTTCTCTGCTGGGTGAGGGCCCAGCGAGATCTGCCTTCATGAACCTGAATTCAGCTATGATGGCATCCTGACCTCTGACCTCTGGCCCCCCAAAGTGGGAAGACTCCTCTACCCTTGTCTACCACATTTTTGTTACTGCAGGCTGAGCTGGCTGAGACAGACTTGAGGAGCTGACCCCAGGGGTCCTGGGGCCGTGTTCTGCTTGGGAGGGGAGCTGGGGTCTCCCAGACAAATGTGTGGCCCTCTTTGGTCTCTCTGGTCTGATGACCCCACACAGTAGGTGCTCCGTGGGGCCTGTTATTGACCGACAGCCCCGAATCAGCTGAGAGCGTTCTTACCTGAGGGCCTGGGTTCATGAGGCCTGTTTCAGTCCCCAGCACCCAGCACCCAGCCCCTTGGCAGAACCCTCTCCCTCTGGCCCCTCTGCCCTGATGGTCCTCCCAGGGCCCAGCACCACTGGGGAAACCTTCCATCACCCCCAGAAAGGTCCAGGCCGGCCCCCAGGGACCTCCCCTTCCTCAGCATCCGGTGTTTTTGTCCCTGTGCTGCTTGTGGCCTGTTTTCACCCCTCCCCACTGACCTGGGATCCGAAAACCATCTGGCTGGGCTCACATCACCCCTCAGGGGGCCCTTGGTTCTGCCCCTGAAACCTGGGCCTGCTCATGACTTTGATGCAAGGACACCAAAGCCGTGGCCGTGGAGTCAGGTGGGGGAGTGGTTCCTTGTGAGTCCGTGCAGGAGGGCTCAGCGGCCCCTCTTCCCCCATACTCCCATGGGGAGCCTAGTGCAGGGCACCCCCTCAGCTGCCCCACAGGCCCTGCCTCCCCCTGCAGCCACCTCACCTGTGGGCCCGTCTCCCTCTGAACCTCAGCCCCACCTGGAGAGCCAGGCAGGTGCAGAGATGACCCCGACTCCACCTGCACCACCCTCCCTCCTGGGCCATCAGCAAGGAGACCATTGGTTGATTAAACTCCGAGCAGGGAGGGGGGCCGACCCAGGTCACTTGGCACCGCAGCCACTCAAAGCCCCAAGTCGGAGCTGCACCCGGTAATTTAGTCACAGTGAAAAGGGCAAGAAGAAAAGGTCAATATTGTTCTAAATTAGACCAACCTCTTCCTTTCTGTCGGGGACACTGGCTAGCGGCAATTTAGCAGTGAGAAGAAAAGGTTAGGTGTGCGGGCCCGTGGTGACAGGGGCAGGTGACGGGAGCGGGAGGGTCTGGGGACACACGTGTGCAGGCTGTCCACTGCAGCCCCTGGTACAGGCTGGCCCACTGGAGGTGTTGCCAACCTCACACTAGCAGGGGGGCTGGGGCGCATCTCCAGGGTTGGTGCTGGGCTGGGAGGACTGGGGGCTGGGTGGTGGTTGGGTTCTGGGGTCACAAGGCCACTGGTTCTGGTTCCCAGCACCACAGGCTGCCCCCTCTCTGTCTGCGCATCTTCCCCTCCAGCTGCTCCTCACTCTGTACCTTCTTTATTCCTCAGTTTTCCCCTCTTCTCTGTCTCTTCATTTTATGTTAAAATGCCCACCCTGAGAACAGGTTTCTTCCAGGGAGGGGAACCTAGCAGTTTCCAAGTGGGGTGAGTCCTAGAGGGGAAGGCGGCTTCCTTGGGCCCCAGGGATGCTTGCCCTCCTGCCAAGGGGGGTCAACGGGGGTCAGGGTCTCCTTGGAGGCACAGGCGGATCCCGTGCACCGGCTGTGTCCTTTCCAAGGGAATCCTGTCTGGTGCTTCCTCTTCCTGGCTCCAGAGCTCTTGCACTGTTTGTTTAGCGTGAATTTTACGTCATTGTGGTGTGTGTCAAAATCCCCTAAGTCATTCCTATAGTGAGAACATAGCCCCCCAGATGTAAGTCCACCTGGAAATGGTGAAAGGGACACTGTTTGGTAACAAGGGTCTTGAGATGAGATCACCCTGCATGAACCCAAGGACAGTGTCCTGAATAGAAATGGGCAGAGGGATGGTGAAGTGAGGAAGGGGACAGAGAGAGAGGCAGAGAGAGAGAGACAAAGAGAAGGAGAGAGGGAGAGACAGACAGAGACAGAGAAGACTCAGAGAAGTCTCCAGAGAGACTCAGGACTGACAGCCCGGAGGGTGTCCTCATAGTCGTATCCTTGCAGGCTCCCTCCCTGGACCCGGTTGGTCACAGCTTCAACTGTGATCAGAGGACGAGACCTCTGGTCAACATGCAGAGATGGTTTCCAGAACATTCGAGACCAACCTGGCTCCTGGGCTCCTGCAGGAGACCATGGTCCAAAGGTCCTGGTTCTTGCCTTTCTGACCCACAGACGGAGCCAGCACTGAGGTACCCTCATCTCCACCCTCCTTCATCCCAGAGGAGCCACGGGCTCCTCTGCAGAAATGGGTAGAGGTGGGAATAAATGCAGGAAGCAAACTAGATTCTCCCTTAAATCTGCTGACAGGCCAGGGAGTGAGCAGAGCTGGGGACAGGAGGGTGACCCCACCTTGGCAAACATTCAACCCAGTAGCCTCAACCTCATCACAGACCCCACCTTCTCCCCAACAACAGGGACACTTCAAAAGATAAAAAAACAAAAAGGAAACTCAACATGAATTTTAAAGAACATGAAAAAACAAAACAGGGCCCTCTCATTGTCCATCACATTGTTATTCAATAGGGCATGCAGTTTAAAAATAGCTTTGTCTTTTACGGAAAAAGAATTAAAGGTAATTTAAACCTGGCACAGGAGAGAGAATTTAGGAGGACACAGTTCCTGAGAAAGGCTCCTGATACGTTACACTCCGGAGCCACGCGGCCGAACAGGTTCTCAGGACCATTTGTGAACAGAGGTGCTGGACGCACCCGCAGGAATGGGTGCTTCCTTGGAAAACCTGTGGGAAAGTGGGTGGCAATCCCAACAGTCCGCTCGAGGTTGTCAGGATGTCCTTCCAGTGTGGACACGCAAAGCTCTGCAGGCAGTCTGTGTGGGATATTCCAGAGCACCCATGTCCTCGCTGCCAGGCCCGGTGGTTCTCTGTCATCTGATGCTTCTCCGTCCTCTGATGGTTCTCGGTCCCAGAGGAGCCCTGGGAACAGAGGCACCTGATGACTGCCTTCTCCTCACAGTCGCACTGAGATTTCTTTCCAGAAACAAATCCTTGCTCAGTGCAGTAACAGCAGATTGTGTCCTCGGTTTAATACTCTGCTCTGAAGTGAGCAGGTCATTATCTGATCGTCTGGTTTCAAACAAGTAGAAAGGGGGTGGGAGGCCACGGGGAGCTCACAGGGGTGACAAAGACACCCTTGTAAGTCAAGCCCAGGGTCCAGGGTGAGCTGAGGGGCCCAGTGACCACAGGCTGCAGGTGGGATGCAGAAACCACCCCCGTGGTACCGGGCACCATCTGGGGTCCAACCTTGGAGGCGTTAAGTTGATGCAGATGCTGGAGGCAGCAACCCGCCAGGAAGGATGAATGGGGGCCTGGATTGCCCAGCAGTCATGCTTCAAAGCTCGTCCCTGCCCCCTCCCTCCAGTGCTGACTTTCCTGGGGGCCCCCCTTTACCACTTCTGTGTCAGGGGCAAAGCAGATTCAGAACCAGGTGTCTGGGGGAACGATCCCTCCATCATACATGTGAGTATCTGAGCAGATGGACAGCAGGACCTGGTGCATCTGCCTTTCAGAGCCCAGGCTGTCATTACACCTCACAGGGACTGTCCACACCACGCTGGCCCCGAGGGAGGGTGGAGGGTTGCACCACGTCCCGCTTCTTCAGCAGTCACGACCCCAGGAGCTCCCCAGGAGAAGCAACATGTCCACAGAGAAACTGGTACGTGCGTATTCCTAGCAGCCTTACTCACCAAAACGGAGACGGACAGAACACAGATGTCCACCAATGGATGAAGGATAAGCGAAATGTGGTCCTTCCGCGAAGTGGAACACGATTCAACCTGTGAAAAGATGCATCTCTCACATAGCCTTCCAAACCCAAGGCTGATTTAAGGAAGCTAGACGCACATGTAAGACCTCATTGATGGGAAACATCCAGATCTGAGAGAGAGACAGAGCAGGGTGGATGCATCCTGGGTGGAAGAGGACCTTGGGACTGGATCCTGAGAGCATTTGAGATGAATGGGTGAGGCCTGGACCAGCCAACTGGGCCAGCTCCTTATTCTCTCAAAAATTCAGGGAAGAGTGTACAGCCCAGCAGTGCCAGTGACACATCAGCCTCCCCAGTGGGTGTGTGTTTATTCCTCTCCACACCACCATGCACGTTTCCCTACTGCTTTTCTTCCTCCTTGGCAAACATCAGGAATTTTCTGAGTCTCCAAAGATCCAGAGAAATTGTTTAACTGAGTGCAGGGGGCTAACTAAAGAGGGGACATCTCTCTGGGTCCCTACGGGCCAGGCCCAGGGGCATCCTCAGTCCTCTCTGTTCAGACACCTGAGGTCAGACCCCTGCCTCACCAGGCTGTGGTGGAAACAGTCCACAGGAACCCCACAATGGTAGGTTACAACACAAGTGGGCGGGGTCCTGTGGTTGGAGCCAGATCTTAGGATAGAGACCCTCTCTGGCTCAGCTTGGGTGAGATGTCTCTTCCTGGCCAATCACGGCCATAGCAGATGTGGCCATGGGGTTGACCTTGAAGGTGGAGATGGAATGCGGGATTGACCTTGAAGGCAGAGCTACCACCTGCACATGGAGCATCCAGACAGATTCTCGTCTGCCTCTCAGCTGGATGTGAGTGTGAGTGAGGCCTGGGGACACTGGGGAAGGCTTTGTGGATGGTGCCTTATCAAGGGCTTGCTGGAAGGCTGGCCTGAGGACAGGACCACGGGCCCTACCTTGAGACCAAGTTGAGATTCCCAGGGAGAGTTCAGGGCTGTGGGTCTGAGAGACAGAGTAGACAATTTCCCTCACACAGTCACAGCGACACACGCCCCCATGTATGTGTGTGTGTGAGTGTGCATGTGTGTCAGAGTCTGCGCGTGTCAGTGTTATGCGTGCACACACACATGTTGCGGTGACAAGTGGCCGACATCCTCTTGATTTGGGGCTGCAGGCTGGGGGAGGGGCTCTGACAGCGCATCTTTGTGGGAGCCCAGCTCGCACTCAACCGCCCTCCAGACGCGCCTGCGCCAGCCAGGCTCTGTCCCGCCTCTCTCTTCTGGAGTGTCTCCCCTGCAACCGACAATTAATGTTCCAAAGAACACGAAATGGAGGAGAAATTACAGCAATTCATCAGCTGAAATTATAGGTGTAGACACATGTCAGCAGTGGAAACCGTTTCTATCAAAATTAAAGTATTTAGAGATTTTCCTTAAATTTCAAATTATGCAAATCCCATTTCCCGTGCCGCTGCTGGATCACCCAGAAGCACCACACATACAGTTGTGACTGCGGTCTCTTCCACCCTGTGGCTGCTCCCTGGCTGCCCAGCTCAAAACGGGCCCAGAGACCAGGCCGGGGAACCAGGCGGGGCCATCCAAGAGGAGGACCCTGGGGGCTCAGAGGCCATCAGAACTGCACAAACAGGCCGAGCAGACACAGGCATTCAATTTAGCTGCCATCTCTGCTATATGCTTATCAAACACTCAGCGGCCATCGGCTGGGGAGATGGTCACTGGGGCACGCAGCTAGCCGCCTACCTGCACTGTGGCTGGGTCAGGCCCAGGGCAGCTATGAGCAGAGCCCAGATGGGCCCAGGTTCTTGCTAAGAGCCAGGGACTCCTGGAGCTGGGCCGCTCCAACCCAATGCACCTGGGAGCCTCCTGGACCCCATGTTAGGGTGCAGATTCTGACACTGAAGGTCCAATTCCACATCTCTAAGCAGCGCCCAGCTGATGTGGCAGGAGCTCCAAGAAGTGGCCATGCCTGGGGGCCCTGGGGCTGCGTTAGCCCTGGAGACCATAGGAACCAGGCCCCACTGCTGCCTGGGACCTCAGCTGGCTGCCCCCTTGGAGAGGGAGGCCAGGCGACCTTGGGTCTGAGTCCTGTGGTCAGGTCTCGCCTGCCTGGGAGCCAGGCTGTGTGGCTGACTGCTGGCCATTAGCTCTGGGAGGCGCACATGGTCCCAGAGCTCTGTCCCCACTGTCACTTAATTTCAATGTAATTGATGTTGCATTGGGTCCCCAGGTCCCCTGTGAAATGCCTAATGAATTCACAGTGATTAATGGTATTCCGACCTCAGGACGGTGGCCAATCAGAGAGGCTGCTCCTGACAAGGTTAAGCGGGCCAGGGACACCGTAGACCCAGATGGGGGCGGGAGCCTCTCTGCACCCCCTACCCACAGACCGTGTAATTAAACTGCTCTGCAGGGTGGGGAGTAGGGGAGTGGGCTTCTAGTAAGTCAAGTTAGTGGGAGGAGGGGAGGAGGATGAGGGTGTCTGCAGCCCGGGTGTTTTGTGGGCAGGGCTGGGGGTCTGGAAGGGAGGAGGGGAGAGCTGCCTGTCCCGTCCTGCTCCTGAGTCAGGGCTCTGAGCACCTTGCTGCTATTGATGCCCCAAATCCCCTAAAGAAGAGATTCCTGGCTCTGGGGCCAAGGGCAGTGACCTTTGATTTACGATTTCAAAGACCACCCCCAGGGGTCAGACACCACTGTGGCCACTGAACTCCTGTCCAATGCACTCTGCTGAGGCGGTGGGAGATGCCTCTTGGGGTCCCATCCTCCTCTTTATTAGACCTTACCTCTCTGTGGAGGGGCAGAGTGGGCAGAGAGTCAGCAGTCACAGTCTGATGCCTGATGGAACCTTCTCCCTCCCGGGGGGGTGGCATAGTAGGGAGGGGACCAAGGGGGCCTCCAGCAAAACCGTTTCCCAAAAGACCATCCCGCATGGGGACGTGAAAACTGAGCCACTCTGCCAGGTGACCCAGCACTGCCCATGCCTCTGTGAGTAGCTGGGGAGGCTCCCCCTGGAACCTGTGGATGTCCTGCTCAGATGGAGCTCAAACTCCTGCACCGTGGGGACCGAAGGGCCCAGGGCCATGGCCAGGTCTGCTGCCCAGAGTCACCCTCACCCACTGCGGGACCAAAACCCCAGAGATGGACGGCGTCCACCACGTGCTTAACCTGGGATGGTGGGGCTTCTGGCCCAGGTCTGTGTAACTCATGGTTCAATATCATGATGTTTCTCTCCTATTTTTAGCATCTCTCTCCCACTCCCTTTTTTCCTATCTGATAAGTTTTGGAGGAACCAGTTCTGGGATGGACTGGTGTCTGCTGCTTCTTTGCTCAGTAAATTCTGTCCTTATTCACCTCCTTCTTCTTCTGTAGGTATGCTCTCTGGTTCTCCTCTGGCTTCTTGAGTTGAACATTCAACTCATTTGCATACAGTTCTTAATGTCTTCTCATAAATGAACTTCGGTCTCAAAATTTACCTGATCGATGGCCAATTTGGCTGCACCCACACGACTAACATGACTTAGCAGCAGCAGCAGCAGCATGAACAAAGTCATAGGAACTTTATGGTTTTAATGTTCTAATTTTCCTGTAGGATTTCCTCCTAAACACAGGTGATTCAGAACAACCACCATGAAGATTTAGATTTTAGAACAATGCTTGTTGGTTCCAATTCTATATAACACACAGAATCAGGCTAACGAAACCCTAGCACAGTGGATTAGGCTGTAGGCACGTAAAAGAAGCTTCTCAGGTGCCTGGAAGCAGGTTCTCTCAGTGTTTTCCAGGAACTTTTCTTGTTTGGTTTGCCTCTGAGAGAGGTCACATGGGCTACCTTCCCTCTGTGGCCACCAAGTCACCACAAACTTGGTGGGAGCTAGGTTAATAAGATTTCACAACAAACAGATGACCTCAGGGACCCAAGAAGCTGGTATGAGCTCTGTAAATATGTCTCCATGGAACGTTGCACCCACCCATCTCCCAGAGATGCACTCAACCAAGAAGCAACCATGCAACCAGCATTTTTGAAGGCTTGGGACCTTCCTGCAGGAACCAGGGTGAGTGGGGGTAGGGAAGACTTTTGCATTCCAGAGGCTACAGGCATGTGGGCCATCACTGACTAAAGTCCTCCAAAGGTGTCCCTGCAGCCTCAGGCCCAGAGTCGGGGAGTTCATGCCACCTCCAGCTGGAGCCTCCTGGACTCATCTTTGCCACAACTTGTGACCTGATCGGGAGCCTCCCTTGGGCAGTAATTGTCCACTTTGGTGGGTCATGGTCTCAGGCCACAGACCCTCCCCAGGACAGGTCTTTGGGGACCCTCCCAGCCCTTGCCACATATAACATGAGACTCATAATTCCACCCCTAGGCCCAGGGCTGAAGAAAGACACACAGAAGCCTCGGATATAAATGTGTTTTATAAACTTCAGAACAAAGATCTCAGAAGGGATATCATGGCCCAATTTTCAATCCCACAGAGCCCAAGATTCTAGAAAGAATTGCTTTGGCCTCAGACACACCTGCGGAGCCAGGTGGATATCAATATTTCTGAGGCCTATTCCATCTCTGACCTCAAGTTTTGCTCCTGGGCCTCCGCCGTCACGCCCTGGAGCCCAGCCCCACTCACTAGAGCTGGGCTTGCATGTGGCAATGGTCAGGGAGATGCCTGGGTGCTTGGCCTGCCCTGCAGTGGCTTCTCTCCCGGACCCTCAGGGCACAGGCAGTCCCTCCTCTCCCTGGAGCCTGGTCCTGCCCTGGTGCTCCGGCAGCAACAGCCGAGCGGGTCCAGGCCAGTTGGGGGTGGGGGTGGCACAAGGGCTGTGGGGACAGCAGGCTGGACCCAGGGCAGCCCAAGGCCATGGGGAGCTCTGTGGGGGGTGAGGACTGGCCAGTTGGGGAGGGTTCCAGGACAATGAAGATACAGAGCTGGAGGCAGAGGGGTGGGCCCAGAGGGGAGAAGCCGGAGGGCGGGGCTGTGGGCTTTTGTGGCACAAGTAATGGTTGTTCAGCCCCTAGAGTTTCCTAGCACCCCAGGCATTAACACCATGCACT